GTGTGTGTGTGTGTGTGTGTGTGTGTGTGTGTATACCTGGTATCCAGCAGAATAAGACAACCAACACCATATTCCGTGTTGTTGACAACACTCTTTTAAAACGCCTCCTTGAAAGCCCGTCTCCCTCCACAGGAAAAAGCCCAACATCCATACGCTTTTCATACCACTTCTCCACTTTGTAGTAAATAAACTGAAACAAAAGAAAAACTTCTTGATATCCACCCAAGGAGAGATAGTTCAGATCTTTTTAATTACATGTACTATGGTATCTACATATCACTTCCGTTACAGCCTGTTTTAAAAGCTGGCAACAGCATAATGTTTAATATATAAGTGTTTGCATCAACTACATTACATTTCTATAGATTGTTTTTTTTTTACAGCAGCAATCCATTTTGGTCTTTGCCTCTTGCAAACTGGCCATTATCTTGTCAATCAGGGGCAGAGCCAGAGGGGTGGCTAAGGTGGCAAGTGCCACCACTGGCACCTGATTAACCAACCCAGGTGCCACACCCAAATAATTGACAATTAAGTGGGGATCTTGGATTTTGTATTTGCATTAAAATTTTGTTCAATTTAATTCAATTCAATTCAGTTCAATTTGATTCAGTTAATTTATATAGCACCAAGTCACTACAACTGTTGTCTCAGGGCACTGTTCACACAAACACAAAACATATTAAATCTAAAAAAGCCAGCAGACTGCATCGAATCTTTGCTTTTTGTTTGCTGATACTACTGTATAAATTTTTTAAGCTGTATTTGTTTAAAAATGGCTGAGTTGTAGCCTTTGGTAAAATTAGCTTTGGCAACTGTTGATAGCCTAATTTGGGATTAGCATCAGTTAACGGCATGTATTCATTCAAAACACCTTGGCCACCCTGTGCCACTCCTCGCAGAAAAGCCTAGCCCCACCCCTGTTGTCAATCCAGTCAACGTTATACTCTATTTCTGCAAAGTGAGATTATTCAATAAGCTGTCTACAACAGGTAAGATTTTAATTGTTCATAACCTTTTCACTAAGCTCCACTTCAAAATATCTGAACTATCCCTTTAAACACTGTCCATGTACAATCAAACTGTAACTATGAATATCAATATTTACATTAAAAAAATACTCACAGAGCAAGATATTATCACTGATATCAGCACGATTAAAAGAACACATCCGATGAAATAATCATGGTAACGCTCTAATATCTGTAAACAAGAAAAACAATATTATTAGCAAGAATGTGCATTTTTGTCAAAAAAATATGTGCTTGAGAAATGCAAAATGCAGCAATATAATTGTATAAAATTGATAAAAATGTGAGTAGTTTTGCCAAATAAAATGCTGCAAAGCTAAAACAAGTGTATAAAATGTGTCAAGATACTTCATGGTCACTCACATCATCTGAGCTGAAATGACTCCAGAGATTCAAAAACAAAATGCACCTGCAGAACAAGAAAAAAAAAAACATTAAATTAAATTAAATTAAGTTAAATTCATTATTTTTAGAAAACATGAAAAAATCCATATAACATAAATATGTTATTTTACTGGGATCTTTTTGATTTATTGAAGTCAAATCTGACTGTGATGTTGCTCACCTGAAGTGGGTCTGGTTGGGTATGTTCATTGTTATGTTGCTCAGAGGAAACAAATATTGGGTGTTTTGGAGAGGAACTAAACTTGTAGTCTCCCCCCAAAAAAAGAGCAAGTAACCAAAATAAAGTACGAGTGGAATCAACCTTAAATATTGAAGTTGGAGAAAGAAAAGTCCATTAGGGGCTGCTAAATGCACAGTATTTTTTAAAAAAATTGTCTGACAGACTCACCACACAATGGCATATAAAGGTGCCTCTATAATTTTCTTTCTGCATTGACTCTGAAACAAAGATGAATATAATTAAGGATGGAAGAATGGAAAAGTTTGAACGGAGGTTTAAAATATGTTTGTCTCACCTGTCTGTCCTCATCATCTGTTGCACTTTCCCTCCATCCCTGGATGACATTTTTGGATTTCCAGGCATAAACAATCACCAGCAGAAATGAAATGAAATAAAATGTCTGAAACAGAATAATCCATATATACATCGATGAATGAAGAAATACAGTGTAAATGATTAATTTGTTAACTGTTTAACAGCTGGAAAGTTAAGTATAATCAGCATGACAGCATTCATCTGTTGTTTTTTATTTTCAGTACCTTATTTTCCTTATTTATTTTCAACTTTTATATTTCATTTAAGTTTAAAATACACTTGAGAAACAAAGAGCACATCTTTCTAAAGACAAAGTTTAAACAATAACAGGTTTCAGAGAGAGAGACATACAATATAATGGCTCCAGACAAAGGAAACATATTGTTAAATTTCTCCTCTGCATGAATTAAGTCAAGTAAAAGAGAAAGTGTTGCCATTTTTTTTTCTTCAGTCAGTTTCACACTGGTTTCATTTTTCACTGCCTCAGGTGGGATTGTGTCTTAATATCTCCAATAACTTCTTCTTGAACTGTAATAAGTTCACGAATACAGCATTTTTGTTTTTCTCATATGAGGTGCAGAAAAGTTGTAGATGTGCTACAATAAGAAAAAAAGTAGTGTTAGGTTTGAGATATTTTCATGTTTAAGCCAGTCACTTTAGAGACGTACACCTAAAAGTGGTGTTTTAAATTCAAATTTTTTTAAAGTAGACATTTTTATATCTGTCTGCTGAAATATATTCACCTTTCAAACAGGATAAAGCATTACATCCATAACTTCAAAGAAGATGTTACATAAGACTGTGTCGTTGTACAACATTCCAATCATTCTTATTTGCTTTGTGTGTGATCAGAGCAAAACTGATCAGAGTCTAGCTTGAAACTTTCAGAATTGAAAATCAGTTTTCTTAATATTTAAAATGAAAGCTTCAAAAGGCTCAACAAAAGGGCCTGTAAGTTAATTTATAACTGCGATAAAAAAAGAGCACAAGGTTTTAGATGATGTCCTGGGTGACTCAGGGAAAATTTTACAGTTACGTGATCTGACAATAAATTAAACATTAACCCTTATACTTGAGTTTTTTGAGCTGAAAAGAAACAAAACATACACATACACGTTTCTAAAAAAAAAAAAAAAAGCATTCTGTGAATGATTTACACGTAAAAGTTTTTTTCCAAGCAAACACAGTTCCCCACCAGTGAAAGTGGCAGGCTGTAATGGCACATGAGTCCAGTGCTGGTGCCAGCTTTGTTCTTGACAGATGTGAACATCAGGACCAGAGCAGCCAGGAGGTCCGCCAGAGTGAGCTGCACCAGGAGGAGGGCCTGGAAACAGAAGAAGAAACATGTTCACTCGATGCAAAACTGAAGTAAATAAAAAATACTGTATGGCTTTTTGCCATTTCTGATCAGGTGAAAAACACAACAAGGCGAAGCATCAACATCTGGACTCACCTGATCTTTCAGATGTCTCCATTTCACTATGGAAACCAACAGGACTGAAAAACTCCCAGCCAAACTGCAAAAATATGTGCATAGATCAGGCTTTAAAGTGGGGTTTGAGTTGAAAATAGTGCACAAGCCTAGATCCAAATGTCTGATCATTCATAAATATGCACTAAATTTAAAATAGCAGAAAACCTGAACTAAAAAAATATGTATACAAATAACAAAATTGGCCTGCTGAATCCATACCATGTTTTATAAAACTACAATTTTCAAACTAAAGAAAATAAAATGAGATCAGCAGAAGTAGTTTGTATCAACGTGAAACTAAACTGACCTAAAATTCAAAATATTATCTAATCAAAAACACAAATGCAAATCAAAATACTATATTACTTTAATTCTGGTATCTCATCAGCACAGATCGTGCTTCAGTTCATGCACAGTTTATAGATTTCAGACAATATGTCAGACACACGACAGCTGAGGGTTCATAATCCTGCATTAAACAGTGGCATTTTATTTACACACGCCTGGATTAAATAGGAAAAAACACCCATGCTTATCTGTACATTTGCTGGTTTGCCAAACATTTGCTAGAAAGCTGACAGAACAGCAGCAATGGGCTCCACACACAATCATGGTAAATGAATGAATCATAAATATCTGTCTGCAGATCTTATGTAATTTAGAAAAAAAAAAACAAAGAATGAGAAAGAGCAATACCTGAAAGTGAGAAAGGCTATGTACAAGCTGGAGAGAATATTAATCTGAAAAACAAAATTCAATTACAAATGGCAGAAAAAATACTATTATTAATATTGAGAGAAAAGTTCTGACTTACTTGGTAATCCTGTAAAGCACTGAGTCCCATTGTGTTTTCGGTTTATCCTAAACTCACAGCTCACCTTCAATTATCGTGTCTCCATTACAAGCTTCTGAGAAAATGTTATAACTTAGTCACAAGACACCTTCATAAAAATGTTTGCCTCCTTATCACGTGTTCACGTGTTTCTATTTTGACTCCACCTGCTCTGAGTGAGCATGCCTATTGTGCATGGGCATACAAGTTAGTGCGAAGCTTTCAAATGGGAATCCCCGGGTAAAATGTCATTTTTTACCCTAAATAACCCCACTAATTACGTGCGGAGAACGTGGGACTTTCTAAACGTCCAAACTTTCCTTATTATTCCAACTAACAAAACTTATATTCGTGGACAAAAAATAAATAGATAAAGAGTAATTTATTTATTCATGTATTTTACATGCAAAATTATTATGTATAATGTATTGTACAACCACCAACAATTAAAGCTATTCATTTCCAGTGCGCACACCGGTGATACAGCGACATCTGGTGGTAGGTTAGTGGTATGTATTGATAAAAATGGTGACACGATATTAAATATTTTTCTTTTAAGTTTAAGAAGGCCAACCGCTTTTTTCCCCCCTGATGTTAGCACTCACAGCACGAAATGGGTACTAAAGAAACACCAGAAAGTGTTTAGGATGTAAAGTTGTGTTGTGTTCAGTGTGCCTGTATGGATAAAGCTGGTTCAAACTGATGACGCGGTCGCTTCCACGTTTACACCGGACGTGGCAGTCTCTCTCTTCACCACTTTGAAAACTACTGGAGCTGGAGTAGCGGAGTTTATTATTTCTCTTCGTCCTGGTTGATATCGCTTCATATATAATAGATCCAACCACCCTCGGTCAACTATGGGGCTCACTATTTCGTCCATTTTCGGCCGACTTTTTGGGAAAAAACAAATGAGGATTCTGATGGGTGAGTGAAAGTTCTGTTTGGCTAATCACAGTTAGCATCACTCACAGGGAAACACTAGAGAAGTAGCATAGCTGCTAATGGGCAAAACTGCCTTGTAAAACATACAAAAGGTTGGCTAGCAATTATTTTATTGAGGCGGGGGGGGGGGTCTTTTCTATTAAAGTTTTTTTCTTAGTTCTGTAAGCGAGAACTGTTGATGTGGCCTTGTTAGCAATACATGTCAGACAAAGAAAACCTAAAGTGACTAAAACGTTCAAAACAGTCGCAGACAAGATAAAACTTAAGCTATACAATGGATTTCTATACAATCACAAGGACATTATTAAGTGAAATAAATTCGCTGAACTTGTGTAGCTGTAAAAATACAGGAGAAATTTTACACAGGTGTTTGCTATTTTCGGCTTAATTGCTTGTTGATTATAAATATACAAGATTTTTCTTCACCTTGATTATTTTATTTTATTTTATTTTATTATTATTATTATTTTTTGCCTTCAGGCAACCAGACAGTCTTTTAATCTTTGGAGTGATTGTGGTCAATAGTTCTTCAAGCTAGTTGAGGGTCTTTCAAACCGTTCATTGGGTTTTTAGGGACCGTTTCACTCATACCTGTCCAGTCCTTTTAATATTACTCAGTGTAAATAGTAGTAGTAATAATAATAATAATAAAAATAATAATAATAAGGAAAGTGGACCAAAGCTGTGTCAGGCCTTAAAATAAAAGTGTCTACAGCTGGTGAAAACTGTGTCTTTTTAATGCCTGAGTGATTCATAAGTCACACATGTTTTTCAGCAAATGAGAAAATAAGCCCGAGGAACTATTAATTAAGATGACTTTTAAAAGTTTTGAATAAATTGGCCTTCCTGGAAGCAAAATCTAAAGAAATGACATGACTAAACACTAAAATTTTAAGTTTCAATTTGTTTATGTGTATTTGTAATAAAATTGAGTAAGATTTAATATAAATTTATGCCAAAAGTCTGTATTTTTATTCCTGGCGGTGAAAATATCTCAACATGGTCACTCACTTTGTACAGTAATCATATCCCACTTCATTTATCAAAATTAGATGAACTTGTTGTTGTTTTCAGATTTTTGTGATTTGATAGCTTTTCTTCCTACTTTCCTCTAATATGTTTTTCTTAAATCACATTGTATTAGTTGGTCTAGATGCTGCTGGAAAAACTACAATCCTGTACAAACTGAAGCTTGGTGAAATTGTGACCACTATTCCAACCATTGGTGAGAAAACCATTTGAAACATTGTTCTTTGACGTGTCATTTGGTGTTAATGTGACATTAATGTTCGTTCTTTTTCCTTCCTCTGTAAAGGTTTCAATGTGGAGACTGTAGAATATAAAAATATCAGTTTCACAGTTTGGGACGTGGGTGGCCAGGACAAGATCAGACCTCTTTGGAGGCATTATTTCCAGAACACACAGGTATGTGCAACACTTTGTGTGCCATGCAACAGTTTTATTTATTTTTCTTTTATTTTCTTGCTTTGTGTAGTTTTGTTTAAAAGATAAATGAAATAGGCAGGAAAAAGACACCCAAGTGGTCAAAGTTTTAGAATAATTCTCATGAATATACTTATTTATTTCTAGGATTTTACCTGTAGTACAAACACAATCCTTCCATATGCACGACTAAAATAATATGATTTAATAAGATTTTTTTTCTCCATCCTAATTTAGGGTCTCATCTTCGTAGTGGACAGTAATGATAGAGAAAGAGTGACTGAGTCTGCAGAGGAGCTCTCAAAGATGGTAAGTATTTTATGACTGCAGTTTATCAGCAGTAGATTATTAGTCTGTATTGTACAATATCATTTAAAGCTCTGTAGAGGAAAATCTGTTCATAATGGTACATTTTCAACATAAAAACACTGCAGTAAAATGTTCAAAGGGAGAAGTTGGACAGTTAAGTCGATAACACACAAGTAGACAAAGGTGTTAATAAGCAGTTTATTACACTTTTTTAAGAGCAACTACAATGAGTTTCAGAGTCAGGAGGACAGGAAGGTTCAGCTAATAAAGTTAGAAATGTGACTTATTGATTGCTCCAGTTATTCTTTTACAGAGAACTTGGAAACTCAGGAATAAGGTGGTTTCCTTTTTTTTTTTTTTTTTTTTTTTTTTTTTTTTTTTTTTTTTTTGTTTTTTTTTTTTTTTTTTTTTTTTTGTTTTTTTTTTTTTTTAATTTTCTGGCTGAAGCTCAGAAGCTTGTTGACGTCTTTTAATAATTTACCTAAATCTATTACAGAATGGCCTTACTCAAANTAGAGTTAAAAATAAAAAAACGAAGGAGCACTGCTTCACCTGAAAACCCCCATAATGTTTCATAGGAAACTGTTTGGATGGCTGCTGGGATTAAGACTGTTTTTATAGGAGATAAAAACATGTTTAAAGATTAAAACATCATCCCAAAGTGGAGGTGCAGTGAAAGCATTGCGTCATTAGCGAGAAATAATCAAAATGGATTGTTTTTAAGCCATGCAGTCCATCAGTGTGTGTGGTGTTTTTTTTTTTTTTTAATTTTCTGGCTGAAGCTCAGAAGCTTGTTGACGTCTTTTAATAATTTACCTAAATCTATTACAGAATGGCCTTACTCAAAGAAAATCATTTTCACCTGATAGCTTGATAACACAGCAGAGCTGACCCTATCCAGAAATGTCTCAGCACTTACAGGTTATCTGTGCTAAAAGAGGGTCAACCAGCTATTAAACCCAATAGCTTACCTGACTGTGATGAGTTCAGTAAAAACGCAAATAATGAAAATGTTTCTCACAAAACAGTTTGTTCTTGATAATAAAATCTATAATGTATTGTTTTTTATAGTTGGAGGAAGATGAGCTGAGAGATGCAGTTTTGCTGGTATTTGCCAACAAACAGGACCTTCCAAACGCCTTAACAGTCAGTGAACTTACAGACCGACTCGGCTTACACGCTCTTCGCAGCAGAACCGTGAGTAGTGTGAATAGAAACATTTTGTTTACTTAAAGGAAGGTTTAAAACTGTAGGTCTGCCGTATCGCCTCCTGATTGTCTGTCCTAAAATGTTTTGCTTGTCAGTGGCACATCGAGTCAACCTGCGCCACCCAGGGCACTGGGCTGTACGAAGGGCTGGACTGGCTATCCAGGGAGTTATCCAAGAACTGATGAATGATTGGCTGGACCAAAACGTGAGAGTGAGGACAGCAGAATCAGCACCGATGTTTAGTAAAAGGACAAATCTGGTAGACTTTTAATCAAACATTTACAGATTTTTTTTTTCTTTTTATATTATCAAAACTATTACTTTTTTTTAGTTTAGTCTCAGTTTCTCTGCTTTTGTTTATTTTGTAGTAACACTTTTTTGTTTTGTGGTATGCAAACACTTTTTTTTGAGATTTCACTAAAACAAATACTTGTCAAACAGTTGGACTTAAAGCCTTTCTAGAGCCTTGATTGGGGGCTGTGATTGTGTAACCCCAGAGCTCTGATGAAGGACACTTATTAGGCTGCCACAAGCTGTTAATCTGCATAGCCCCCTGTGGATATTCGACTCTCTTACAGACATGACCCTGGTCTCTTCACTGCCATGTCCTCAATCCTGTTCCATCTTTTTTGTGAAGCGTGAGCTGGAGGGGGATTGCAGCGATTTTGTTCGTAATGTGTAGTCACAAAGCATGTGCCTTCTGGTCCGTTTTTGCACAAACCTCAGCTTTTCATTCCTTCTCACGCTCTAAGGTTATTCTCCTCTTGAAGACGCATTTGTGTCTTTATGCTTTTGCAAGATGAACTGATGCAATCTTTGGTTTGAGCTGCATGAAAAACTGTGTTGCAGCAGAACCACACCACTGTGAGAGTCGATGATTTGTTTTTTTTTTCTGTAACTTTAACATGAATTACAGTTGTTTCCTGTTTTATTTCTGAAAGCTCTTTCACTTGTTTTGTTTCATGTTTCAATTTAAAAAATAACACACAAAATCAGTTTTCTGATCTTTGACAGGAAATGTTTTTACCAAAAGAAGGAAGGAAGCGTTTGCTCAGTGTTAATGTCAGTGGCATTACAAAACAGTAGTTTCTTTTTTTTCCTTTCATTCTGATCAGTTTGTAAAGCTGAGCTGCTTCTGCTATTAACCCCACGCCCCCTTTTCCTCTCGCTGAAGCGTATTCTTTCACATCGAAGTCTTTGAATTTACATTTTCCATAGGCTTTCCGATGCTACAGCTGTTTTCAGATATATTTGTTTACGATGTAATTAATTTGTAAAAAGTGATCTAAATAAAGCCACTGTTTAAAAAAAGTTTGCCTTGTATCTCAATATTGCGAAACCCACTTCACCACTGCCGTCTCTTGTCAGGAACCATAGCTCAAAGAGGAAGTGCTGGTTTTGATACCAATCCGGACACTTTCTGTAAAACAGCACAAAATTAAAACTATCTGGGCTAATTCTGCTTTACAGGACACAAATACGACTGAAAAGTTTAGAGGTAGTTTTTCTGAATAAGGATGTTTTATCATAAAATGGAAATTGATTCTTGTGGTATATCAACATTTACTTTTAAATCGGGTATAAATGGTGTGGGGAAACTGCAATTAAATAAAAGGTAAAAAGTGCTAAAATGCTACATGCAATTTAAATAGAGGCAGGTAAAACATTACTAGCTTGAATAAGTTGCAAAAAAGTACCATAGGAGAACTGATCATTTAAAAAATAAACCGTATACTGTATCTTGATTTAATTTAAAAGCGGATGTTTCAGTTTGGCTCAGGATGAAAAAAACCTCACTTTATGTTGGTCATTAAGATTAAGGAAAACAAACATTTTTTTAAACAATTGGTGTGACGACAGTAAAATAAATTCATTTAATCTCCAAGCTGAAGACTAATAAAAGAAACTGCTTTAAGATGTGGAAGGTGTGATTAAAAGCTGTTCCTGTTGCTGCAGGTTAGAAAAATGTGTGTTTGGATCTGCTCCTGCACTTGAGCTAATTCACCTTTTGTCATGCTCAGTCCTGAACTACCACACTAATGAAGCAGTCGTGATGGATTTCACGAGGTCACGTTTTCATTTATTATAGTGCATTTAAACAGGTTAAGAGCTCTTAAACACAGACCCTAATGATGAAAGGATGAAATTACCAATTCAATTTGCACAGAGTAAAATGATGCTCAGAGCCGTGGCTGCTTGCAGGTAATTAGGTCATACGCAGAGGTGAAGGAATAAGCGTTATATAATTGGCTTGTTATGATGCATGAATGTCTGTTCCAATGTACTTATGACCACTAATCAGGCTTAGTGGAGCTGGGTCATCACTCCTTTTTGTTAGTGTGTACACAGAGTGGGTCTAGACCAAGAAGCACGTTTATTTAGTTTGACTGAACAACTTTTCTTTAGATTCTATAGTCACAGCTGGACAATATTTTAAATGGGATTAAGAGCTTCACTGTTCATCATAATAACAAAGGTAAGCCTTAAATTTGATTGTATTCACAGCACGGTGCATGTGTGTGTACAGTATATCCAAGGCTGCTTTTATGGGTTTCTCGTCTGTTCAGGATAATGCCGAGCTTGACCCCTCACATACCGGTCCCCCGGCCCTCTTACTCCCAGGCCAGGGAGAACCTGGTGAGAGCAATCCCCCCCAAACTCCTCTGTCTGCTGGTGTGCGGAGGAAAAGACTGTCGCTATGAGGGACCAGAGTGCTGGAAATCAAACCAACAAGTCGTTCGAGGCATTTTCTCCTCCTGGTGAGAAAACACAACTGCAGTTGGTTAGATGTTGTCTATAAGGGGTAGCAAAATTTCGTAGAAAGACGTAAATTACTGATCACAAACTTCCTTCTGTTCCAGGGTGACCGATGATATAATTGCAATGGCTCGGCCTTCTAATCAACTAATTAAGAAGTATGACATCATTGAACAGTTTCAAAGGTCAGCATTTTCTTTTTGTATAACTGTCTGCATCATTAGGATTTATCAACTTAATAGTGAAAATGTGTAAAACTACATGCGTTTCATTGCTTTTATCAGATAAATTCGATTTTTTTGTTGACACTTGGGTGTCTTCAAACCATGATGTTAAAGACACACACAAAAAAGAGTCACTTTTTCTTCTTTTGTTCCAGGTTAAAGATCAGATCAATCATCAACATGCAGCTTCCGGGCGAGCACGCTCACTGTGGACCTCCTCTGGACCCTGAGAGTGGTTTCACTTACTCCCCACAGATCTTCATGGACAATGACAGTGAGATACTGATTTCATTCAAACACAATAGAACCAGACCTGATCCTCACCTGCAAAACAGCCTGAGAAAGAATGAATTTTTATCAGCAAGTCAAAAAGTAATTAGATGGATTATATAGTTTATTTCTTTGAAAGCCGCCTGCAGCAAAGTTAAAAGAGACATATTAATTACAAATTCTGTTTTTTAGGCATTAAATGCTTTTTGTTTGGAGTCACTGAGAGAGCAGCACATTGTCATTTAGCTTCTCCCGGTGCTGCAAAGATGTCTTTATATCCTGCTTGCGTCATATTCTTCAACCCGTTCAGTTTCCTCTATTTTCTATGACGTTTTCTGAGCTATAGTATTTGTGACAGAACTGTAAAATAAGGTGTGGATTTACCTACTGTCTTCGTCTTAGTTTTCCTCTTACTCTGGGTCAGACTCTGGCTCCAACATGTAAGGCTGGATGAAGTCTTCTGCTGTTGACATCTTTTAATTAATTTGTAAATAAAAAATTTCTGCGCCGCTATATAGCCGTAAACCCCTCTGTCAAACTAATTTGAACCAGTCTGGAAGCGAGAGGGGTGCAAGTTGTGAAACACCTCGTTTGGATTTAAAGAGACAGCCTCAAAACAAGTTGATCTGAGACACACCTGTTAGAAAAGGAGTGAAAGCGGGGCTTGTGGAGTTACGGTAAGGAGGAATTCTGACCAAAGCATTGCAGTTCCACTTTAAATACTGTAGACTCCAACTGAGAGATTTAAAAAAGTTTAAAAGCGTGACATCTCCTTTCAATCACATGACTAAACAACAAACAACAGTGCAGTCAATATTTGTTTGCAGTTTACTTTTACAACTTCGGGATGCCAGACTTCGGAGTGTCGCCTCTTGTTGGGATCATTGATGGAGTGAAGGTTTTGGACTTTGCGGTGCAGGAAGGACGAGTTGCTGTGCACTGCCACGCAGGCCTGGGACGGACAGGTGAAACTTAAAGTCTATATTCAAGTTCAAGAACAACATTTTGCCATCTCTCACATGTACAACTCTCTTTAACGCCTGGTATTTTTTACGTGTGTTTTACTGTTTTGGGGCTGTGAAGGTGTCCTGATAGCCTGCTACCTGATCTACAGCCTGCGCATCAGCCCCAGCGAGGCCGTCCACTACGTGCGCATTAAACGTCCTCGTTCTATCCAAACGCGGGCGCAGATAAACCAGGTGTTTGACTTTGCTCGCCTGCTCGGCGCGCAGCTGGTTCAGTACCCAGACCTCAGCCTGCGGCACGGAGCTCCTTTCACCCTCCAGCACTATCTGAACCGACAAGCGCTGCTGCTGCATGGCCTGGAGGCGTGCAAACTCAGACACACACCCAAGGTCGGGACTTTGTCCATCACTCTGTTATCACTTTTTTCATGATCAAACAATAAGCCTCGGCCTGCTTTTCATCCAACTAGGTCGTGTACCTGCTGTGTGTGCGCCTCTCCTGTTTGGCTCTGGGGCTGGCTTCTCCTCCAGAGGTCCATGCTGAGTTGGAGAGGAGGTCAGCTCTGAGGACTCTGGGCAGAACTGTGAGAGAGACCCTCGTGTCCAAACAGTATTTACCCTTGCTGAACGAAGGCCGCAAAGGCTCAGGGTCTGTGTCCTCCTGGGATGAGCCTTTGGGATTCTTGGAGAGGAAACAGGAGATGCTGCTGGACAAACGCAGCTATAGTGAATCTGACCTCAGCAGGCTCGCAGTAAATGAGGTGACGTCACTTTTTTGCATCCAGACATAATTTCTATTTCCAGCAGATTCAGACGGTTCATGGAGTGTTTTGTCACTTTGTTGCTTTTTGTTCTAAAGGACCAAGAAGTGAGCTCCTACTGCGCAGCTGCACTTGGAAATGAGAAGCACTGGTGTGTGCACGATCTAGTACGAGCTGATCTAAGACCAGTTAGTCCAGTCCTCAGTACTGTTTTGTTAGCTCATCTGACTAACAAAAAGGAATACCATACATTCAAAACCCCAGTGTCTGACATAAGAACAAGCAGTTGCATAAAGAGGACAAAAGGTTTTGACAAAAAGGAACTTCCTAAATATAGCTCCAGCCTGGAGGTAAAAAAAATTGTCTGAAGCAGTTGATGATACAGAAAGTTTTGTCGTCAATGTTTTAATTATCTTCTGTTACATAAAGTTGCACAGAAATCCACACAATTCTGGTTCAACCTCAATGGCCCGTCTTGTTGCCAAAGCTCTGGCAGAACGAGGTCCTCCAGGAGAAACCTCTCTGCAGAGGTCCGCTCTGCTGCAGGTACAGAACAATTAGCAGCTGTCTCATTTGTGTGAGTTTTTCCACATTGAATTCATGATTAAAACTCGCTTTTTCTAAAAGGAGGAGCTGAACAGCAGTGACTGCGGCTGGTCGCTGCTGGTCACCGAGTCGGATCCTCAAGTCCTCTCGTGTCTCTTGTGGACCTGGCTGGAAAAGTTAAAGGTATTTGTGGCATCAAATAAATAAACATGACCGGGGTTGTACAGTACACTTAACCTAATCGTTGTACGCTTGCAACTGTCGTGCTCAGTCCCATCTGTTTCCCCCGTGTAATCCAGGAACCTGTTCTGAGCAGCGACGATGTAGAAAGGCTGAATCTTAAAGGAAGCGACAAGAAGCCTCTCAGTGGGCTAAAAAAGGTAAAAGATCTGCTGATTGAGACATTTTTTTATTCGTTTTTCTTAATAAATGTTGTAACGTCTTAAGATTTGCCATGTGTCCATGTCCACAGTCACAGAGACACACTGTCTTCTGTCTGCTGAGTTGTGTGAGTACAGTCACCAGCCTGTGTCCACACAGAGAGGACGCCGTGCTCCAGCGGCTCATGTGTGCCCTTACTAAGGTAAAAACCACGTCTCTTTTCTTTAAAACATGATTGCTTTATGCCAATCAGAAATATATATAATAACTTTCTTTACCTAACAGCGCCCCCTACAGGAATCAGGAAGCCCTGCACCTTTGATGAAAGTCCTGAAGGCATGTTTGAGAGAAACATTTAACAACAGATACTTCACAAGGGCCTGCAGCTTGAACCCTACACCGTGAAGAGCTGAAACTGCATTTCATCTGAGCGTCTGAGAGTGGGCAGCGCTTCTCCGGGAACATTTTGGGATTTCAGATTCTAAAAAGCATGTGTAGAAAAGGTGAATAAAAATAAGTCTGAATTCCACTTATTTTGCTTCAGTTTCTTCTGGACAGTGTCACAAATTAAAGGGAAACATTCAAATCTGAAACCATAGAGCTTTTTCTTTTTGTAAATTAGAAAATAAAATTTCTGTTTGTTATTAGGACAAGTTTTAAGGCAAGATCTCCCAATCACACAACAAAAATGTCTGTTTAGATGTGCCAAAACCTGAATCAATTATCAACTAAGTATCAGTAAATGTTAAACCTCTCATTCTGTTATGACTTCCATCTGTGTCATGTTAATACTTTGCTGCTGAACGTTAACAAAAAGACACAGCTTCCAACAAACAGGGTAAAAGACATTTTTTAGATCCAGGGGGCGGGTTCAGAGTATTTTTTTTCTTTGGGAAATAGTTTTGAAGTTAACTATTTAATAAGGTCATCTGAGTTTAAAGTGGCTTATGATTATCTTTTTCAGTTTCATCCCTCTCATAAAATGTATTTTAAAAAGTACAGTTAAAAAGACAAGAACTTAAAAAAAACGTAGAATATAAAGTGTAGAAGCTTTTGCTTTATTCACAACCTGCACAGTGTGAATTACAATTCAATAATGGTGTAGATATGATATTAACTGTAACACATTTTAGTTAATAATTCCTTTGCTTAATGAATTATGATACTGTGGGCCTAGCCAGTTAAACCCAAACAGTGTTTGGTTACAGCCCCTCATAACTAATAAATCATTTACAAGATCTGTATTATGCTTTTATTTTATTTTTTACATTTCAAGGATTCCTGCACTGTTCTAGGAAAAAAAAAACACTCAACACTTACTGGACATGCCCGTCAAAGAGTTATCTCCATGACAATATTGTCATAGTGACGTTGATGGGTGCTTAACAATCTGTGTTTGGGTTCACTCGCTGAGTTCTGAACACAAAGCCTGAGACGAGCACTGGCAGCCGGACGAGGAGCTTTCTGAGGTAAAACAATCCATCTGTTGTTTAAGAGTCAAACTAAAGTGAAAGTCTGAGTTGGATTAAGTTTGGGTGTACTTTGTGTACATCTTGTGGTTGAGAGCATCAGATGGGTGATGTTTTTACTGATTTTCTGCAGTGTAAAGTAAGGTTGAAATGAAATGAGCGTAAATGAGAAGTTTCTTATGCTAATGTAAAGAGGAAAAAGGTGAAAGATTGTGTAAATTTAATCACTTCGGTGTTTGATACCAGTCAGTCTGTTTTAACTTTGAAACACATCTCAAGGGAAAAACTATTTTTAAATGTATGTTTTAAATACAGACTCCATTTTACAGACACAACTGAACAAAGGAGCCTAAAGATCAAATTTGACGCCTGGTCTATGGAATCAAATGGTCAGAAGCAATGAAAAGGCATTTATTCACTACATTCACATTCATTCAAATTGTATCTATTATTTTCATAATGATCAACTGAGGTGTGTCAGACAATGAGTAAAATTTGACATTTTGTGAACTCAGAATTTTTAAAAGAAATGTAGTAATGTGAAATAAGATGCTGCTGAAATGGCTGATAATCTCACCGTTCCTGGAACAAAACCATGAGGGATCCCATTTGAAACCTTTCTGATTGCATTGTTATGTTTCTAAACCCATTTTGTGATTTTCAAAACAGAAAAGTTTATAGTATACTGAAAGTTAAATCATTGAACTCTTACGGACATTATAAAGGAGTGACCTGCTTTAAATGTTGTAGATTTCTAACAGCAAAAGAAATTTATTATCTTGCATATATTTCGTATTTTAAAAAGCATTTGTTCCAACTATAAAGTAACAGTAAATTACTCCCCAATTTTGTCTGTTCGTCTCATTTTTCTCCTTAAAAGCCAGCTCTTCTCTCGATGCAATGCCCATACATGAACCTTGGGTTGGAACGTGGAGACCCCACAAGCCAAGAGGGCCGATAGCTGCACTCTATGGTAGCCCAGGGCCTAAATATGCACTGCCTGGACTCACAGGTACAAACTAAAAATTGTCTTTTTTTTTCTAAATCAAATCAGAAACATTTATAAATTATAATAAGTGACCTATTGCTCCTGCTCTGTAAAGGTTTTTCTCATCATGACCCCACCAAATGCAAAGCCCCAGTCTTCTCCTTTGGTGCGCGGCATGAGGAAGCAAATACAAACTGCTCCCCAGGACCCAGGTATCTAATCCCCTCCAACATCACCAGGCAGGGACGAAACGGCACGCCTGCATTTTCAATCCACGGCCGCCTAAAGCAGACACAATTGTTCCGAGCCCCTGGACCAGGTCAGCGGAGCAAAATGCGACAGATTTGATTGTGGATTCTGTGTAAAAGCAGATAAAAGCCGAATACTGCTATTAAGCAACACAAACATTATGTAATTTTCTCTGGTGTCTCAGGTCAGTACTCACCAGAGCATTCAGGAAAGATGACCCTCCGCTCAGCACCTGCTTACTCTCTGTCAGGAAGGAGAAAAGACGGTGTTACCAACCAAACACCCGGTAGCTTTCTGTAGGAACAGCAGAGCATTTCAAAGTTTCACCAAAGTATATTCACAAAGTTTCACTGTTGCTTCTACCGCAGGCCCAGCCGCCTACACTCTGCCCCCCATGCTGGGCTCTAAAAGTGTAGTCGCACCTTCAGCTCCCACCTACACACTTTGTGGCCGCAGTAAAACTGGGAGCTTCCATGAGGATCTTAAGAAGGTAGAAAATTGAAAAATTCATTACTAAAGCTGATTAAAAAAAGAAAAAGAAAACCTGTTTCTTTTTTTTGTTTATTGTGCTGTTCGGTTTCCCTCCAGACTCCAGGCCCAGCTGCTTACAAAGTTGTGGACCCGTGTATTTATAGACACAAACCACCACAGTTCACCATAAAAGGCCGAACGTTTGTTTCTTGTGAAGCCACAGACAAACCAGGTCCAGGAACACACTATCCTGAGCGCGTAAGAAACATCAAGTTTCTGAAAACCTTCAAATGACTTTTGTTTATTTCGTTTACTTATTGTTTTCTCCCCCCTCCTAGGTTACCTTCACAAGAACAAAAGCTCCTAGCTTCACTTTCGGAGTTCGTCATTCAGAATACATCTCACCTTTTATTGTAAATATGAGTGAATAATGGCCCATATAGTTACGAGTAGGGAAAGAGGATTAGGACCACTGGAAAATAAAAAAATAAAAAAATAATTCTGACTTTAATCTCAGAAATCAGATTTTTTTCCCCTCAGAATTCTGAGATCAAAGTCAGAATTCTTTCCCCCCCACCAGTGGCCCTAATCCTCTTTCACAGATATTTGTCATGAATAAACAGAGAAAACAAAACAAAACGTCCAGTGTCATTAATATCATGTTTTATTGCTCTAACCTTCACATCCTGTACACACATTCACAGAATGGACTGGATCAGTTTTTGCATGGGGCAAGAATTCATTCATATAAATCCTTCCCAAGTCAAGGTCTGGACCTCACATGAAGAAACTAAGGATGATCTAAAGAAAATTTAATGAAGTTTAACAATTATAGCTGATGGCTGAATTTGTCATTGTTACAAAATAGAAGAGATGATCACCAGAAGAAGAAGAAGAAGAAGAAGAAGAAGAAGAAGAAGAAGAAGAAGAAGAAGAAGAAGAAGAAGAAGAAGAAGAAGAAGAAGAAGAAGAANGAAGAAGAAGAAGAAGAAGAAGAAGAAGAAGAAGAAGAAGAAGAAGAAGAAGAAGAAGAAGAAGAAGAAGAAGAAGAAGAAGAAGAAGAAGAAGACCAACAACAACAACAACAACAACAACAACAACAACAACTCAAAATCAATTAATTCAAGAATATGCATTTACAGACAGGCACTTAATAAGGCAACATGATTCCAACCAGTGGTCCTGTTAGCGTCCCTGTTGCATAGAAACCAAACCGAGTCGTCTGGGACGTCGTGTATCTAAAATCTTCTACTGTGTGAGCTTCAGTTTCATTGTTATTTTACTCAAGACAGGGCAGAATACATCTGGAAACCAAGTGTATTACCTGTCATTTAGAGGTGCAGTCAATGCTAATTCTCTTAGCGGCTCTGGGTCCTTACCGTAGCGTTCTTCGTTTGCCTCCGTCTGTTTGCTGTTGCGAGAGTGACGCGCGAAAAGTAGCAAGTAAAATCTCACAGCCGACTTTTACATGTAACCTGTGACGATTGCTGTGCTGTTGTTGGTTTCAGTGATGTCCGAATTTACTGGACTGCACGAGCACTGACAAAGTTTTCAGACGAGAAACCGGTTGACACCATGTTAAATCCAGCTAACCGGTGCCAAGAAGCTAGCTAACTAAAGCCGTGGTTATTTAGCAGCTGATCCAAACAGACTCGGTTCGAAGCTTTAACAGAAACTCCTCCGGTGTTTATACAAGAACTTACAAAAGAGGTAGAAAGAAATCTGATGGCTAACGACGTTGGCAGCATCCCTGAACTGGACCAACAGAAATATGACGCCGAAGAACAAGTTAAGATCATCTGTCTGGGAGACAGTGCTGTTGGTAAATCCAAGTGAGTATTCTTTGCTTTAACACATCTCTGATTTTCTGCTGTCTCGGCACAACATTTCTCTCCTTCTCTCATAGGCTGATGGAGAGGTTCCTTATGGATGACTAGTATCCTTCAGCACCTACATGTAAACGATTCAAACAGCATAAACTGTATATTAGTCTAACTTGTGTTCAAGATAATTGTAAGATCTTTAACACTTCCTGCAGTTGTCCCCAGCAGCTGTCAACCTTTGCTTTGACTCTCTACAAATACACAGCTACTGTTGGAAACAAGGCCGTAGTGGTTGGTAAGCATTTGCTCTTTCTGAGCTGAGGAAATGGATTCAAACAGTGGAGAAATCGTCTGTAAGAGGTCACACGTAATGCTGCTTTTGCAAGACGTCTCTGTTTTTGATCCACAGATTTCTGGGACACCGCTGGTCAGGAGAGGTTTCAGAGCATGCATCCTTCATACTACCATAAAGCACACGCATGCATCTTGGTAAGACAAACGCTGACAGTATCTTGTGTCATTTGTCTTCTCACAGAGAGCTAAAATGTCCTTTACTATTAAAAGTACATTTTGGCATAATGTTAGTTGAACTGAGATGAAATGGGAATAAAAGATGTGAATATGTTTTGTAACTGATTGTACTGGAACAGTACCGTGTTTTATCTTTTTTTCCTTAGGTTTTTGATGTTCAAAGGAAGATCACCTATAAGAATTTAGTCACTTGGTATAAAGAGCTGAGGGAGTACCGACCAGAGATACCCTGCTGTGTGGTTGCCAACAAAATCGATGGTGAGTTTCATTGGGACACTTTGAATATTTTACATTTGTTTATTTTAATATATTAATACTCCATTAGGATGGCATGCTGTAAGAAATGTGACATGTTTTGTATTGTCCTTTTCATTCATTAAAATGGCCAAAATGTCTGTGAACATGAATTTATTCTTCACCCACAGCTGATATGAAAGTGACACAAAGAAGTTTTAACTTTTCAAAGAAACACGGGCTTCCATTTTACTTTGTCTCAGCTGCTGATGGGACCAACGTAGTTAAGGTTTGTCTGTTGTTTTCTTAAGATGAATATTATTTACAGGTTTCTCCAGCATCTTGGGATTTGGTCAAACAATTGTGCCCAAAGCATGGGGCTGTTAGCACAGTACTGACTTTACAAACCCGTAGCTTAATTAATAAAAAAAGTAAACAAGTAGACTGACATATCCTGTTGTATGCTTTTATTCCAGTTCTGTTTAATAAATTTTTCAGATCTGGGAGGTTTGAGAATCCACACCAGCATAGTTTATTATATAAAAGAAAATGTCTTATTATTACGTATTATTAATTTTTTTCTCTTGTTTTTATTATAATTTTTTGTGTTGTATTTACTGTAAAGTGCCTGGTCACCCTAGCTGTTGTGAAGTGCTATGTAAATCGATCACTAAATAATAATAATTATTGGATCTGCATGCTGACAGAAGAATGCTGTTATCGTTTCAGATGTTCAGAGACATGATAAAGAGGGCGGTGGACTACAAGCAAAACCCCAGTGACTTCATGGATGAAGTTATGCAGGAGTTAGAGGTACGCCTTCCTGTTGCGCATTAGAAATTATTGTTATTATTTTAAACAGAATACTTTTAAGCTCTGTCCTTTCACAGAACTTTGACCTGCACAAGAAAGAGGAGAACTCGGAGGCAGAAGAGGATGGATTAAAAGCAGAGAGTCCAGAGTTAGATTGAAAGTCTTTTTTTTTTTCACATCAACTTTTCCAAACTTTGAATCTTATTGGCACTTTTACTCTGTGTTTGATATTTCCGATTCCCCATCATCGACCCTGTCAAACAGCACATTATGTGTTGTGTAATTTCTGCTTATTAAGTTATTGAATTGTAACCTTCCTTTTTCAGGGTGGCACACAATTGTTTAGGCAGGTTTTAACATTTGTTCAGTAAAAACAGAAAAATAAACCTAATGAAGTAATTAGCCTTTGTCTTATTTACCAGGTTCACTCTGTTTTAGCCTCATCATTTATACTCCAGACTGCATATCTTTTTTTAATAGTAGAATGTTTACTCATGAGTAGAAACATCTACTTCATGTAATAAACAATGTGAAGCATGAAAAGCTGACACAGCGAAGAGAATGTGCAATTATAAACTGGATTTCCCGCTGTTCTCAGTGATTGTGTCGTGTTGTGCGCAGCTGAATTTGTTGGCTGCTTTACTTGCATTAATTTTATGATGTAAATTAAATTTTTTTGTGCGCTTTGTAAATGAAAGCTTAATGTACCATAAAAGAACTGTTAACATGACTCCTTTCATCTGTTTTTGTTGTGGTTCAGCAAAGCCAGTCAGCATCAGTGGAACTAGGTCCAGACATGCAAGTCCAAGTTAATGGAAATGACCAGATTTCCAAAGAGTTTATCGAAAACCTGGTTCTTTATTGTCAAGTTTTAAATGTATGTTTTAAGTTTTTACAGTTGAAAAAAAGGCCCAAATCCCTTTTGAATAGTATAAATCTTAGGAATATTTTCCTAGCAGCTCATTCTTATTTTATTATTTTGCAATAGTTTATTATTTTTTTGATAAGTGAGAATCTTGGGATAGTTTATCCACTGGTGTGTTAAGTTTAGAACTATTTGCTACACAGATTCAGTTTAGAGCTCGTCAGATAATGAATTTATGTTTTCTTTAGGTGTTAAAATTAGAGTTTGCAAGTATTCAGGTGGATCTATCCGCCCTCCATCACCGTTCAGTTCAGCTTGCAACCAAATCTTGATAAACTAATTAATCATCCCCCATTCCTTCTTTCCCTAAACAGCTGTGCTCCTTTAGCATCAAATTATTCACAATGTTTATTTTTGGAGTGTTTTGATTAGTTTAGGTATTTGAAACTTTTAAATTATTGAAAATCAGAAAATTTTGTTTAGTTATAGTAGTTATACAACTTATACAGCTTAGTGAAATGTGCATTGGCATTATATGTAAGGTATAATTACAAATTAGAATCTGACATTTGATTTATCCTGAGGGTCTGCAGGTGAACTGGGCTCTTGCTTTAGCTACAAGATTTAACAAGTTCTCTGACATTTTCTTGCTCTTCTAGACTTCAGTTTGATCAATATCGTTTCTGTGGAAAGATTTTGCTCACATTTGCAATAAAAACAGGATACAGATTATATACGTATTTTGACATTTTCAAATTTTCTCTGCTTTTTTGCAGTTTGGCTAAAAAGAGGAACCTGGAAGTTGCACTAAGTCTTTCCTAAAAGTGACTGTTAGGAGTTCTTGTAGTCAGGTTTTAGGCTAAAATTTTGAAACAGTATTAATACAAACAACCTAATTTTGTAAAAATTAAATAAATAAATGGTTTCTTTTTAAATCCCAACTTAGATCTGATGTGTTTTCGATGACATCTTTTATGTTAAGAAACCACATCAGGCTCTTATGAGCTATTTCCACGCAGTAAATCAAACCAGTGCATTTTCACTAATGTGATTTCAAAGCAGGAATAATAAGAACAACAACAACAGGTGTTGCTTTAATTAGAAATTTATTACATAATATAACAAACATATATCTCTGTGGTGGAGATATCCAGTGCAACATCTCGGATCTTGCCTCAGTTTTTACTGTCGCCCTTACTCTGTTTGCTTAAAGAACACCAGCGAGCTTGTTTAATGTGGATCTTGGTTTAGGTTTTCACTTATTGGGAGTATTTATGTCCAGAGGGAGAGATGTCGCTCATTAAATGCTGAGAAGAGGAAGTTCTGGTGTGAGACAAGAGCGAGACGTTGCAGTGATACATCCACCGTTCTAAACTTCACAGTGCAAACAAGGAGAAAACCAACAATGAAAAAAAAAACCCTTTGATGATAAGATCACTGGTTCCAGTATAGAGCAACCAGTACCAGTGTTTTTTTTTAAAGTCACACTGCTTCTTCTACACTGTGTAGATTGTGCTTTGTTGATTAATAAATATGAAAAGATAACCCTTTGCAGAACTTAATCGACCTCATGATTTGTACGTCACACGCTGCTCGTTTCCAAACTTCAACCTGTAGTAAACTTACACAAGGATCAAACCAGTTCCCACCACAGTACTGATTTCTTTTTAAAACCATGCCATACGTCTGAGATCAGACCATACATGTTCACCTCTCAGCTGTTACTCTTTTTTTTTTCTAGGAATAACAACCCTCCATATTCAAATCAAGCAATTGTCTCACAATTTTAAGACAAAGGTTAAAGCAAATAGAAACACACAGGCTATATGTATGTTTATATACAGAAATATATAAGAAGACATACATATAGCCTGTTTCTTTACAAACTAATATTAATGACTGTATTTCCACCTGCAGGAAGATACAGAAAATTCTAATAAATGTTTGTTGTTCTCAAGATTTCCAGGAGATGGCACCATATTGTCATATAATCTAACAGCTTAAGAATGCTGTAACTAAGATAGTCCTAAAGCAAAGACAAATATACAGGTAAAAGTTACTTTTTGGCACATTTTTTTTCTTTGTGTTTGTTCCTCACTGGATCATCTCATATAGCATATTCAAAACTCAGAAACTGAAGGTCTGAAAAAGGAAAAAAGGAGTGCTGCCGGACAGCGTGGAGGGGAAGGAGAGCAAATGCCATTGTGGGAATGGCTGTACAGAATAGTGACACAGTTACAAGGTGAGTCCTTTTTGTTGGGATTTGCTGTAGAAAATGTGTTATGAAAACTCTTTGCTTGTTTCTCTCTGTCTGCCTCTCCCTCTAAAGCAGAACGCTCCACTTTATTTTTTTACAGACGTAACAATACACAACAATGAGCCTCTGTCTTGATGAATGTATGTGTAGTTTTCTTTTTTTGTGTGTGTGTGTAAGTGTGTGTAATTGTGTGACACAGCCACTGGCGGCAATCTCTGATGGTACAAGTAAGGCTATAGTGGACTAACTCCAAAAATGTAAACCCCAAAGATTATTCATACGCTCACTGTTGCATGCATTCTCATCATCTCGCTCCCAGACAGACACACAAAAACATGAAAACAAACATCTGCACACACACGGTGAAGAGGAACAACCACACAGAGAGATTCAGGGAATCCAGATGCACGCATGGACGATGGGTGGCTTTTATGTTAGCACCTTGTCACCTTGTTTTGTGCAAATCTTTCCCTAGTTCAGAGTTCAGAGTTCAAAAGTTCTAGAGTTCATAGAAAGAATAAAATCTGCTCACCTTTTTCACAGGTGGTTAACTATGCATATATGCCAAACATTCATATATAGATCTATATACTTTAAGTTTTTCAAAAATTTATATGAAATCTATTTTATATACATTGCTTGTGATTAAAAAAAAGCAAATATTTGTAGTTATATTTATAGTTCTTTTTTTATACAAGTGTAGGTATGTTTAGAACGGACAGGATATATATATATTTTGTCTTCTCCCCGTCTCGCAAAAAATTCAAACAAATAAAAGATTTCGGTTCATGTTCCACACGCTACAAAAATCTACCTACAGTGGCTGAAGAGAAAAATTAACAACAAAACAAAAAATAAAAATAAAAGAAAGAAAACACAGCAGAAAGTTCACAGAAATCTGAGGACGCAACACTGGAGACAAACGTAGGAGTGAGGTCACAGTGAGGCAGTGAGTGCTATTCCTACAACTCAACGTATGATTTGATGCTCTGCCTGTTTTTCAGAACAAGCGTTTAAAAGAACTACGGGGAAAAGTGCACCCGTTTTTGCTGAACGCTGCTAATGAGCAGAGGTCTTTTAGTGGTAAAATTCTTCTGTCAAGAAACAGCAGTGCTGAAATGTTTTTTTTTTTTTTTTTTTTGCTTTTTGTAGCATGAATAAAACTCACTGAATCTCACTGCCAGCTTTAATTTACTCACAAGTACAATTTTAGATTTGTAGCATCGAAGCAAAACTCAGTTTTGTTTTGTTTTAAAACCCAGGTTTCTTTAAGAAATCTGGCTTTCGCCTTTTCTGATTTTTCATCGTTTTCCATTCGATGAGACGATGGTTGAGATAAAGGGAAGCAGCTACACTGTCAAGTTAAAATACAGATTTTTTTTATAAAGAGATAGTTCAGATAATTTTAAGTAGGGTTCAGAGAAAATCTAACCTGTTGTAGATAGCTCTTAGAGCATCCTCAGTTTGGAAAACGTTGACCGGATTGACAAGAAATATTTCTCTGCAGCTAATGTTTTTAAACCTTTACACCGCTGTCAATTTTATACTGCACAGTTATTTACATAGACTTGTATGGTTATTTGCAAGTACAAATAGTGGCAGCAGCTGGTAGTTGTAGCACTTCTGGTGCAGGTTGGGGGTACTTCCAGAGGGGATATCACAATATTCCTGCTGGAATAACCATGCAATGCAAAATTGGTGGCAGTTAAAGGTTTATAATATAGCATTCATGTAAAACACGGTGACATTTCAGAGATCAGTGTTGTTTTTAAGAAAGCAGCAACTTTGATGTTGGCCACAGACTAGCCATGTGCTCATCAGTCCAGTCAGAATGAAACTATTTAACCAAATTAACTATTCCAAACATATACAACAGGAAAGATAGAATTTGTTCGTAACAAGTGATGCTCTACAGAAGCCCACTTCAAAAAAATCTCTAGAAGACAAGCGTCCCCATCTCCACTGCTGGAGAAACTTATTTTTGCTTCCTGGTCAGAAAATTATTTTCAGTAAGGCATTAATTAAAATGTTAGTTTTCATTTTTGTAAATTGGTTTAACTATCTAAATTATTTAATTAATATGTGCCACAAATCTTCTATAAGAGGAAGGGCCCTCAATTAGCTGACTCAAAAAGGGCCCCCCCGGACCCCACTTCACAGTATGTTGTTGCAAACAGAAACAGATACGTCTGTCTCTCCAGCAGCAGGAATGGGTGACAGCTGGGGTCTTCTCCTCACATTAAGGGATGCCCTTTAGTCCGACGGAAGACCGTAACAAAATAAGAACAAACTGTTCAGAACATGATGCAAATCGCCATGCTACTTTAAAAAAATAAAAGGTGACCATAAGGAAACTTGTTTACATATAACAAAAAAACTTTCATAACTATAGATTTTTNGAGAGAGAGAGAGAGAGAGAGAGAGAGAGAGAGAGAGAGAGAGAGAGAAATAATGGTGTGCATGATCATCTTTGTCACAGCCAAAGGCAATTAGCTGTCAGGATGGAAATGGTGGGAGGACGAGTGAAAGCAGAACTGGGTGTTGCATGATATGTTGTTTTTGGAATCCTGGTCTCCCTTTTCATTCACAGACACAGTGATAACATCAGTGATTAATGGCTACATTTTGCTCATTTTCACACGGCTCTTTCCCTCACCTTAGATTAGCCACAAAAATAAAATCTCTGACTGGCAAAGCAAAATTCACCGATCATCTTACCACAATACAATATATTCTGCTGGGCAACCTTGCTTTCTCAGGTTAATATGGATGCTATTTTATACGACTTACCCAGAATTATTGCAGATCAAGTATTTACCCCTCACCCCCATGCCCCAACATGGCAACAGCAGCACTAGACTCAACAGAAATGCAACAGTTCTGCCAAATCGGGAGAATCCTTCACCAAAGGTCTCAAGACCCATAAGCTCCAAACCCATCATGTCAGTGCCTGGCATCACAAAAATACTCAGGGAAATACAGCCATGACAGCAAATAGCTATTACTGATAAAAGCACAGAAAAGTCATAGTTGTCTAACACTGCAACTGTAAAGCGACAATAAAAAAGATTGAAATATTAAGTCAAATGAAGTCCATTTATTTATAAACAAATATCAAGACCAAGTGCTGACAAAAGTGCTGCACATTTAGAAGCCTGATTTATATTTAATGTTTTGTTTTAGTAATGTAATCATTGAAAAGTGGATAAAAATACAAAATACTTAATACTTTCTATTTTTTTCTTATTGATGTGAGGACTAAAATCTTAAATATCACCCATTCTGCAAACCTATTTATATATATATATATATATATATATAATATTCCCTTTGGAAAACCAAAATAAAAAATTAAAATTAATAAATAAATATGAAAAAAGACACGAGTGTTGTTTAAACATTCTCCAAACATTATAGATTGCACAGTCTGATTACCAAGGCAGAGGGGTTTTCTCACTGCGGATCTCCACCTCTGGGCTCTAAAGTCTTCAGTTTAAAAACAGTAGCAGGTATACAGAAGACACACCTTTTCAAAGCTGTGTAAGCACTATTTCCATAGCACTGTGTTCATCAAGGTTGATTTTAGTATAAATACTTTTTTTTTTCTGAAAGGCAACTGAGCTTTCTGTTTGGAATAAAACTCTTCCTGCTCCTTTACTCAAACTGCCAAAGGTTTTCAGAGGCCTAATACATGTGGGGGCAGAGGTAGAGAGGGTATCATGAGAAAGTTTAGGTGTTACTAAAGAAACAACTAAACACTTCGCAAATCAAATGACCAAATTGGAGCTCGTGTGATTCTCCGTCGCAAGTCAAGATCAGATATCATTTTGAGGTCTGATCTAATTGGCTCCAGCAGGGAGGTGGGTCAGACCAAGCAGAGGAGGATGAATGTACTTTGTAAGCGTATCGCCGCCTCCTCTTCAGTGCAGTGCCAGGTGCAGGGTGTTAATGCAGAACAGAAATGTAAAGTGACGCTACAGACCGCAATACTGAACATTAAAGCAGCCAAAGTAGAAAAGAAAAAAAGGAGCATTCTCAGCTCTCCGTATTACCCATCTTCACCTCTCTCCATCGGTTGCTCTGTCTCAGGGCAGGGGTCAGCTCTCTAGCAGCAGTTTTAGTGCTCGTTCGATGTTCATGCGGTGTCCGACTCGTGTCACTCCCAACTCGGCGAAGTCATCCTTGGTCAGAGCCGGGAGGTGAGAGCCTTCGATTTCGTGTTCCTGAAAGCCCGCTCTGTGCTCCCCCAGATTGATGCTCTCGAGCCAGTCTCCGACGTCGTACTTGTTCCAGAGGTGGAGGGGCTTCTGGTGAAACGGGCGCAGGGCTAAAAGCGGCGAGCCTAACCCCGGCGAATGAGAAGGCGACGGCGAACGAGAGCGAGAACGGGCACTGGAGCTCCTCATGACAAAACGCACCTCTTTCGGCTCCTGCGGTAAGCTGAGACTAGAGGACTTAAGGATGGTTTGTGGAGGTGTGGTTGGTGAAGACAGACCGAAGCCCGAGAAGCGTCCGAGGGGGTCGCCCCGATCAGGTGAGCCTGGGCTAGGGGTGCGTCGGGTGACGGGGTAACGGCTGCCAGGGCGAATGGTGTATGTGGTTCCGTAGCTTCGCTGAGAAAGGGTGTGGAGCTCACCTAGGCTGCTGAAAAGTCTGGTGGAGACAGAGAGTTAGAGAAATGTCAACAGACACAATGGTCAGGGGAAAAAAAAGAAAGCAGAAGAAAGAGGGCAAGAAATGGGTTAAATGTCAAATCTGTTGTTAATTATTTTAAAGTTGAAGGTTATGTAGGAGAAAGGTTAATTGCTGTTAGAACAAACTAGTCCCACATTACTACAACACCAAAGCTGTTAAGAGTTTCACACATTAGTCAACGTTTCAATAAGTTTTAACACTTTGACCACCTGATGTTACTGAATGTACTTCACACATACTCACTAGTTTACAAGAAAGGGACTTCCTWGTTAAATTTACTGTAAATTATCTGGGTGCTTCAATAGCCGTGTTTCCATCTAACTGTAATGAGAATTTTGAGCAAACTTTGAAAATGTCGCAAAAAAAGAAAAGAAAAGAAATGCGAATCAGGCGTTTTTCCATCTACTAGTTTGGAGTGAATCAATTGGACTACACAAAGCATATTTTTGTCTGACACTGATGTTTGGAATGGCTGTAATAAACAGAGGTTGCAAATTAGCAGGGACCACACATCTCGGGACAGTACAGAGAAGTTTTCAGGAACGTGTTGCTATCGGGCGAGCTGCAGTTGTCCTGACATATCAACTAGTATTGGCGATGTTTACATGTTGTCCGGAGGTGTAGAGAAAGAAAAGCAATTCTTACGGGAATATCTGGAAGGACGTCGACCACGGGAATCACTGATCAATCATGTGAGGCAAATCTTAGCTAAGTCAGAACTTATTCAACAAACGTGTTTCCATCGCCTCTTTTGTGCATTAACTCTTTTTTTTGGAAAAGTCAAAAACCACCTCAAGCGAGCGTAAATTATTGTTATTATTTCTTTTGAAATTTAGTTTTTAATTTGAATTTTGCCGTTCTCATCAACTTTTTCTAATATGATACTTCAAAACGCGCATTAAAAAAAAACAGCAACCCAAAAACGATGGAAAGACGGCTACAGTGACAAATAATAAATACACGGGGTCCGAGAGATAGATTAGAAATGTAAAATCAACCATCTGTTTTCATTTACATTAAAAGTAAGTGGATGACACCATAAAATAAAACACACTTATACAGGTTCAAACATGGAAAACGTAAAAGACGTTTTCAGCTTTTCTGTTGCACATTACAGTCTGTTCTTCTGATTAAAAATAAACAATAAACCAGAATTTTTATACACACACACACAAAGAAAAAATAAAACAAACATGGCATGTATCACATGATTATTTTATAAGAGAGACAGAAGGGAATTTCTGTCTCTGAAATTTGTCTTTATTTAATTGAATGGATGCCTGTTTGTGTTGGAATTACAGCTCTGACTTAATGTCGAGCAATACGGCATCACATATTAACCCAGTCCTACCATCTGCAGCTTACAACTGTCCTGTCATAAACAGGCCATCATTGTTTCATTGAAGATATTTGGTGCTCAACAGGAAATAATAAAAAAAAAAATCTGTGAAACAGTTTTTAAAACCAATCATTAGTTTACTACTAGACAAACGGAAAGAAATGTGGTTAGACAGAAGGACGGATTAGAAAGTAAAGCTAAAATAAGAGTGTTTTTTTATCGTGGTGGAGGCAGGCAGAAGCAGACAAGAGGGATCTAAATGCGAGAAAGCATAGTGGCAGAGGTGTCTGTTTTATTCATGCACATTAGCAAGACTGAGCCGTCGTCTGCATACGTTCGGGCCTTTGGATGTGGGTGGAGTTTTTGGACTGCAGAGTGTGATGGAACAAAGGTGGCGGAGCAGCACACAGGCTGGGAAACAATAATCAGACTACAGGGAGCCAACGGGGTTGAGATGAGCTCCATGCGCACTTACACAGTCGTCCTGCCCTCCTGGGCGCACAGTCAGTTCTAGACCAATCAGATCAGAGCAGCAGGGCGGAGCATGCAAGGTGAGCAGAGAGAGAGCAATGGGAGAGAATGTTAGCATCACTCCATGAAACGCAGCCTGCCAACCACACTCGCTCTGCTTCCGCCAACTCTGCCGTCTTCAACATGCTTCGTGCGTGAGTGCGCGCGGCCACGTGTATGTGTGTGTATTTTACCCATGTTGTGCATGTTTGTAGACTTTGATGTGTTAGCATGGCAAAGACAACAGAGTAGGTTTCAGCACTGAAGAGTCTGATCAGTGGGCTACATGAGAGAGAAATGAGCACACTTTTCACTTGTAAAACACTGCACAAAGTAAAACAAACACATAAATGAATAAATAAAAGGAAGGCACATGTCTCTTGACTTTCATAACTTCTTTCACATGCAAGAGAGCACTTGCTATTACTTGTGCTGTTCTATTTTACTGTTCATTAAAAATAAAAATTAGTTTAAAAACAYAAAGTGGGCATAAAATAAGAAAGTCAGTGACAATGGCCATTCTTAACACAAACACTGTGAAATAAATAAAGTTATTCAACTGAAATAAATAACTAAGAACATAAAACTAAACTTATTGGAGGACAAAAAACTTAACTAAACAAAGTTACAAGTAAAACAAAATCCAGCATTGTGGGTTTTGGAAGGGTATACATGAAGCACATAGGGAAATGGGGTAAATGATGGAGGAACGATACAAATAAGATCACAGAGATGCCTGTGCTCTATGAGAAATGCTGAATTAAAGAGAGAGGTGAGAGAGAGAGAGAGAGAGAGAGAGAGAGAGAGAGAGAGAGAGAGAGAGAGGGAGAGAGAGAGAGAGAGAG